CTGAATCACCATTATTAGTTATTTTTTTGAAATCGAATAACGACACCAGCTCTGCAATCAAAACTTTTCTTGAATGTATGAGAACCGTGTGCACGTGTCGCCATCTTTCTTTGGTGTTGGCAATGTCCTTTGTAATTGATGACTTTTGGTGTGACTGAAACTTTTTAGAATATGCTAATGATTCTTGTAACACTTGACGTCGTGTCTGAAGCTCTTTTCTTAAAAGTTCAATTTCCTGCCGATCTTTAACAGAAATAATATTATTATTAAGAGAACACCCAAGTATTTTATATATTAATTAATTAGACGATAAACGGGTTATACCTCTTCCAATTTCTTCTCGCAAACGTTCCGTCTCGATTTCAAGTAAGTTTAGTTTCTGTGTTGCACTGTGTTTCTCTGCAGAGTTTAGCTGTTGACCCCGAAGCGAGCCATTCATAAACTTTGTAGCACGGTCCACATATCGTTGTTTCTCAACATTCACTTTCTTTATCTCTGCATTATGATTACGCAACCTACGAAAAAATTTTATACAAGTTTTTGAAGCTTTTGCATTAAACAAAAGACTTTGTCCATAGGAAATAAATAATGTACCCTCCACGAAGACAATTAGCGCAAAAGAATTTGCGGTGAATATTATGACAAATTTGGCACTCCATTTCTTATTCTAATCAATTGCAAGTCAAAAGCATGCAATAAGTAGCACGCTTTATTTTTATGATTCCCCCCCCCCCGGTTTGTGTAACTTCCATTTTATTTGATAAATATGAAAATTTCATTTTCCAATACGGACGACATTCTTCGTTATGAGTGAACACGATATCTTTGGATACGTTTACGCTACTGTGATTTTATACAGTTTACTATTTTGTTCTGTTTTTTTTGCACATAGATTTTCTCTGAAACGAATAAAATTGTGTATATGTAGGTTATCGCAGCCGGAGGAATAATTGGCTACTTAAAAGCTGGTGTGCTGAATTTTTGAAATTTGCTCTTGTCATTTCTTGGAACCCTTCTAAACAAAACTATCTATTAATCAAAAGGAAGCACTCCTTCCCTGCTAGCGGGTTTGTCTTTTGGCACTGCCGCTGTATGTTGCAACTCTTTCAAATTATATTTTATTAGCTTGCTTTGTCTTTCCCGCTTATATAATTTAAAGACCTTTTAATTATTTGAATAAACAAAGGGATATGCCGCCTACAGAGTTAGCCTTAATCCTAAGAATTCTGGGTTAGCTTTGAGTAATTAAAACTTTTCCTTATGGATGTTTTTTTTTATTGAATTTCTATACGACTAATTTTCTCTCTTGCATTGTTTAGTTGTGTCTTCGGCGCTTCTTGTGATAATGGGAGCTCGATTTGTTAAAAGTGGTAAATTCATGCCCGCAGGATTAATTGCCACACTTAGGTACTGCAATTGTAAATTAGAGCAACAGAAATCCATGACTTAATATTTCTTATTCATCATATGTTTATTTTATATCAGTTTTATATCGGCGATTCGTTACGGGTACCGTAAATTTATTTCTTGAAGTAATATTGATAAATGATATTTATTATTAGATTATTTGTATTACTCTGAAAGTTAATCATCAAAGTTAAAAATGTTGATTTTGGTAGGTATCTTTTGTTTCAGGAAGAAGACCATAACTTAATGTGATATAGTGATGGAAAACGTGGAGTTATTGTCAACTTAATTTTTCGGGTGTATATGCACGCGCGTAAGAAGGACTAGGAAAGTTCTTCATGCTTTATAGAATATAATAAAATCACAATATTATTTTGAATGTTAAATAATGTTGAAGTGAGACAAATATTGTTTATAATATCTTCAAGCATAACAGATTAATTGACCAGATTTTCAAGAATCTTATTCTGGAAGGAATTAATAATAGTGATATTAATAATACTGGATAAGAAAGAAATATTTTCTTTATTATGAAAGAATTTCAAGCTTGAAAGTGATTATTTTAAT